GGTCCCGTCTCGAGAGCGCTTCCCGTGGTGTGCGTGGAGTTCTGCGGAGTATCGAGTATACGCGGTGAAATCTAAATAAATAAATAAAACGGACACCTCTCTAGGGCGGACCCGGCGTCGACGAGGGCACGAGGCGCGAGATTAAGCCCCGAGCAGCGGCGTGCGTTGCTTCCCCGGTGCCGCGAGTTCTTGGCGAGCCACCGTGCAGGGGTGGCTCAACCTGCGATGCGGCCTCTGGGCCGGCGCGGGGCCCCCGGCCCACACCGTGCGCCGCGCAGCAGTGCGGAAACGGGGCTCCGGCTCTATGAGTCTCTATGAGCACCAACTTCCCGAATGATTACGGTTGATTAGAGGGCAGATTTGGAGAGATCTCGAGGAGTACACACAGATAGACCCTCCAATCATGAGAAACCTCCAACCTGATCGGTCGTACTGACCGCCGACAGATCACTCCAGACAGCAGACAGGCCGACGTCTGCACGCGGCCGGCCGGGCGAGAGGCTTGACACGATCCGACCCTGCGACCCTGACGCTGCTGCTCTAGCTATCAGCCATGCACTGCTGACTGCTGCCACATGTGCGACCTGTGCTGGCCCACTTGGCGGCCTTCCCGGTCAGTGGTGAGGCGCAGTTCAGAGCTGTCGATGGCGCGATGCCGCACTGGTCCCACATTGGTGACACGATACCACCAAGTTTGCCGGTCCAAGAGAGAGGCACTGGTGCTGTCCTGAGAAGGTGCGTGGTCCCTTTTGACTGCCCATGCGCGCGAGGCTGTGTAGGCATAGCCTCGAGAGTGCCAGCAGCCAATCCGAGGTGACGCGCATTGCGTCAGAAGCGTGCACACGATGGAAGGACACCTTCCTACTGGCCGTACGATCAGGTCGTCACTGAATGCTTGATACTAAGGCCGCGAGCTATGCAGGTGATCAATTGTGCATCATGGCACGGTCAGCAGCGCCGACAGGCTGTCGCAAGGCGTGATAGCATGGCCGCAAGTACGCCGAATTCCCATGAAAACAAGTAAAAAATCTAAAAAAAGAAAAAAAGCGCGAAAAAATCGGCGCCTGCGGCGGGCTGGGGGACCCCATCTCCCCCCCGCATGGACACCCTCTGGGGCCCCCGCGCCGGCCCAGAGGATGCGGCTGGACTGGCCACGTCCAACGATCTCGCGTTACCGATGGCGCGCTGCACATTCGGGCTGCCCCTGCGCGCTGCGGTTCCGCCGGCGCCGGCCCCGCCGCCGGCCGTGCATGTGATCGGATGACGGGCCTGTGCGGCGTCGGATGACGGGCCCGCGACCTCCGGCGCAGGCCAGGCGCCCGACGAGCCGGAGAGGGATGTGGGAGGTTCGGCGCCTCCCCGAGCCCGTGCTCGATGGCGCGCTGGCGCGCGCCTACCGCCTTCTCCGCATATTTTTTCCAACCACGCGCTCCACGGGGTAGCGGCATCTGGGAAGAGTGCACAGGCTGCTTCTCGCGTGATGCAAGAGAAGCGGGAAAACAGGTTCTCGAAACCTCGCCCAACCTCGCCCAACCTCGCCCAACCTCGCCCGATCTCGCCCGATCTCGCCCGATCTCGCCCGATCTCGCCCGATCTCGCCCGATCTCACGACGCAGGATTTCTGGGGAGTGCGTGCGTGTGAGGTAAATAAATAAATAAAACGGACACCTCTACTAGGAGATGGGTAAAAAGGAACAGGTCCCCGCCCTGCGGTCTTTGTGCAGGGTTCTTTGTGGGTGTGGTCTCGGCGACTAGCCGGGGTCGTCCTCCCGATGGGGGACTAGCACTAGCCGTCTTCCACATGGTCCCTCGGGTCCCTGCTGCTCCTAATCTCTTCGTACATCCTCCTGCTGATCTCCGCAACGTCCTGCTCCCTCCCTCGTCTCGCCCTGCGCGACTGCTCCGCCTCACCGTCGTCTGCCCTGCGTCGTCTGGTGACGGGTCCTCCATAGTCGGTTGAGGTCGCCGCCCGTGATCCCTGGTGTGGACGGTTTTTTTTTGGATTCTCCCGCCTTCCTACTTCTCTCTTGGGTTTTTTTCGCGGTATCCGCGGCGGGATATGGCGGGATATGGCGGGATACCGGGAGATACGGGCAGATACGGGGAGATACGGGGAGATGCGATGAGATGCAAGGAGATACGGGGAGATACGGTCAGATATTGCAGAGATACATCAAGATACCGCAAAAAAAATCCGCACTAGGGCTGGTGAGTGGTGTGTGTGTGTGTGTGTGTGCGCGTATGTGTATGTGTGTGTGTGTTGTGTGTGTGTGTGTGTGTGTGTGAGTCCTGAGGAGCCGTGCAGTGCCTAGTCCCTTAGATATATGTCTGTGTACAGTGGTGCACGCCCTCCGACGTCCGAGCGGGGCGGGGTCTGCCCGTCGGGTTGTTGCCCAAAAGCCAAATCCCACCCAGGCGGGGTTGCGGTCTGTGATGTCTCTATTTATTTATTTCCCAAGGCACATTTAAGAGGTCTTACTTCTCTCGATGTCCCTCAGGACTCGCCGTGCACCGACAACAGCGTTGTCGTCGTCGTTCAGGGCGATCGCGCGCTCGCAGTGCCCGCGCGCCCTCGAGAGTGCGCTCGGCGGCATCCCACCGCCGCGGCTCGCAGCGGAAAGCTCGAGGAGTGCTAGGTTCAGATGCGCCGTGCCCATCTCGCGCGCATCGAGAGCCTCAGAGAAGAGCTGCTTCGCACGGCTAACGTCGCCCCTCTTCGCGTGGATGGTTCCCATGTTGACGAGCACCTCGGCGAACGATTCGGGTGGAACCTGCGTGCCGAACGAGCGCGCCGCCTGAAGGAAGAGCTCGTACCGCTCCAGCGCCGCGTCGGCATCGCCAGCGCGTTGGAGCACGAGCGCGGCCTCAAAGGTGGATCGGAGGCTGCTGCCCGGCACACTGAGCATCGGTGCTGGTGCTCTCGAGGCCGGCGGTGGGAGTCTCAGCGATACTGCGAGGACGGGCCAGAGGACAGGCAGGAGCCACCTTTGCATTCGCGCCGAGAGCATGCGTATGCGTGTGCGTGTGGGGATAAGGCCGACGGGTCCGTTTGAAGTAGAGCCGAGGTGCGGCTGCCCAAGACCTCAAGACCTACAGCGAGCACGAAGAGCCGACTTTTTTCTTTTCGGTGAGCCTGGAAGAAAGAAATCGGTGAGCGCCAGAGTTTTCCAGCCCCTGTGTAGTTGTGCACACATACACATACTATACATATATGAAGCTCGCCGTTTGAGAGACGCATAAGAGCCATAAGTGTACCGCGCCAGCTCCGCTGCGGACGTTGTGATCGTGTCCGCAACCTCGGCGGTGAGTTGAGGCGGCGTGTGTACGCAAGGGCATACAGTGTCAGCACGGTGACATTCGGCAGGTCGGCAAACCTCTGAGACATCTCCTCCGCCACCGAATCATTGTACGCCAAGTAGAGGAACTGCTGGGAGGGGTTCCTCCGAGCCCGCAACTCCAGCATGGTGCTTTTGCCGGCACCCGCCACGGCTCTCACCAACATGGCCTCGCCGGGACCGACAGGCGTCACGAGAACGTCTCCGAGCTCTTCGGTGATAACGACGCGCGATCGGGGCGCCGCGCCGGCGGCGGGGAGGGGGGTGGGGGCGGCGAGGGCCATCTGAGCGCCCCGGGGCGCCCCGTAGGCGCGGGGGGGGGCCGCGGCAGCGGCCTCGGCCGAATTGGTCGAATTGGCGTAGCCTCGTCCACAAAACGGACCCTAAGTGGGCTTGCTTGCTCCCTTAGCCAGGGAGCAAAAATGCAAGAACGTTTTTCTTTTTTTGAGAGCGCCCTCGTTGTTAATAAGAACACAGACGGATGGACATTTGCTGAAGCCACACGACATGCCCACCATGTTTTGACCGCGCAAGATAAAGGGTGGCTAAGGGCTCTGCCCGCAAGGCGCCCGCGTCGCAGACGCGGTACTCAGCTTCGTAACCCGTGAAAACAAAAGCAGGACCGTGGCTCCCAAATACGACAACGTCGGGGCAAGTTTGGTAAACGCCATAACATGGGCGATCCAGCGCTTCCTTCGATTGGACGGACGAAATGATCGGGGAAAAGCGCATCGCGCCATCGCGACATCTCTGGGGTCACCATATGCCGGACCGGCATAAGACATACCGGCTTACGCTCACGCCTGCGACCGAGGCGGCGCTGCTGCGGCTGAAGGAGTGCGGAGAGAACAAGCAGCTGCTGTCCCGTTGCGCGCTGTGGTGCAGCAGCGGCGCCCTTGAGGCGATCATCGTGCTCCAGAAGAAGCGCTATCCGTACCAGGTGGGCCAAGCTGGTGAGTGGGGTGAATGCATCTTGCCGGGGCCGTGGCAGGCGATCGAGTTCGACGACGCTCAGTGGCGAGCAGTTGCCATGATGCAGGGCGCATGGGTCCGTGACTGGACGCAACGGGGCAGGCGCACTGACCTCACCGCACAGGCCGAGCCGCTTCTCCCACCACTTCCCCCGCTTCAACCGCCGGATCAGCAGCAGCCGGGTGATACGGTTCCTCTACCCGACCCAGCCGCGCTGCATCCCACACCGCAGCCGCCCCCGATGCCATGGGTGCCACGAGAAAGTTTTACGTGCGCCGGGCTCACCGACAAACCGCCAAGATTCTGGAGATCACTGGCCGATGCTATCCGCCCGCGCTGACGACACAGCCACGATTCAATGAGAGTGCCGAGGCACAGGCAGAACGGCTACAGCTGCCTCTCCTAGACCCACGACAACCACAAGTGGTCAGCGCAGCCGCCGGTCAAACGCGTGTGCTATCAATCAATGCGGCCGTGCGAATGGAAGCAGACGTGGTACACTGATGCATTCCAGTGGGTTGAGTACAAAACTGAGCTGGTGCGCTTCTTACATGCACTGCGTTGCATTGTCGATGGTACCACCGAGTACCTGGACGTCGAGTTTGCGCCTGAGATGTGGCGCTTGAGGGGCGGCGGCGTCAACTGCTACCCGTGCAAAAACGCGCGGGCGCGAGAGGAGTTTGACGAAGACCCGTGTGAGCTATGCGGTGCCGGGATGGAGGAGCCGTGCCAAGAGCACTGTGTCATTCCAAGGGCCGCACGCAACTGGTGGACTGCGTACGAGGCAGAGCTGAGCGGACAATGGCCGGCGTGGTGGAGCTCAGGCGGACTATCGGATTATTGGATTCCCCGCCGCGGCTGGTGCGTTGCACAGCGTACTCTACTGCGTGTGAAGCTGCTGCTGGCTCGCATGGTGCTCAACCGTGGTGACTCGCTGGCCATGCGATGCCTCATCCTCGCTGGCACGCCCCCTACTCCCAAGTTTGCGGACCAGCACAAACCGCCACTCCACCAACGACTGCTGCACTTCCGCGGTGTGATCCACTTCAGCAATTACGATGGTGCAGCAAAGATGCTGGAGAGCATGCAGACGTCGACGTTGTATCCTGAACGTCGCAATATGGACATCAGCGAGATTGCAGCCAAGTACGGGATAGCCTATGGCCCGCAGCCATTGCACTACATCATTGAGTCGAGCACGTTCAGCCGCAACTTGCTCGGTCACTCGCTCTCGCCATGCGACTTTAGCTACGATCCGATTGTGGGTGGCGAATTTACTGATCACCTCTGCCGACGCCAGGATGGCATGTTTGATCCGGGCGAAGTGGGTGACCACTCGCTGGCGCGTGGCGGGCACGGCTCTCTCTGGCGACACAAGTGGGGTGAGCCGCCGCCTGCGTGGCCCGAGACAGACACTAACCTACCTGCACCGTATCGTCCCACAGCAGAGAGGGTTGCGCGCGATGCTGCCCACGCTCTCGAGCCAAATCTGCCCAAACCCGGAATTTGGGTCGAGGCAGATGCCGATGCTATTGAGCGTGCGCTTGTCAAGCGCCGAGCCACCGCGCAACGACCGCGCTTCTGCCACTGCTACTTCCGCGCGAGTTGCGATGGCTCGTGTGAGCCTAAGGATCCGTGTGAGGAGGATCGCAGGCTTGCAGAACTGAAAGCGTCGCACGACTGGCTCGCTGGGCTGGACGGTCCGGTACGTCTTCATGTCCGCTACTGCCACAGCACCAACCGCGTAGTTGGCTACGAAGGGTTTCAACACCGGAAGTTTAACTGGGACCTCGAGCCCGCGCAGACATTCCTAGGCAAGTGGGAATATGGCGACTACTTTGTGATGGACCATCATGCTGCAGAAGACATTTATCATCTCAGAGAGAACCTCGACTTTTTTCAGACGCCTTTGGATGCTGCACTGCGGGTAGTCGAGATGCGGGGCGACTACCAGCTTCCGACCGGATGGCGGTGGGACAGTGAGTGCGGTCCTGTGCCTCCACCATCGCCGCTGCCAACGCCACCGCCCCTGCCGCCACCGCCGCGTGTTGTCGCCGGCTACACACAGCTACCAGATGTGCACGCTAGCAACCCGACTGGCTCCTTTTCCATCTTCAGGCGCCCAGACGAGGGCACTGCCCTTTTGGGGCTTTTGGGGGTTAGAGATCATGTGCCCATAGCTGCCCTACTGCCCCGAGTCAACCGCTTTGAAGAGCTCCTGTCTTGGGCTGAGGAGCGCGCCGCTGCCAACGGCATCACTCTGCCCTACCAGCAGCCCGGGTTCAAGCCTGAATCAGTGATGCCGCCGGTTCGCACCCCGGCCGCCGCCGCTAGCTCGGCCGCCGCCGCTAGCTCCAGCTCAGATGATCCTCTAGATCTCCCCCCTCTAACCGCTGATGGGCCGGTGTCGATGCAGCTTGCTGAGCCTGAAGGCGAGGAGGAGCTTAGCTTTATGGACTCGGTGTTCTGTGACCCCCGCCTGAGGACGGTGACTGACTTCTAGCTGTGTGTATCGCGCGCCTTGCGGGGCAGTCGCGGTGTGTGCGTTAATACCGCGCAAAAGGGCTCTACCCGCGCAGATGCAGTTACTCTGCCGCGGTTCCCCCTTTTGCGCAGCAACACCTTAAACTTTTCAGGCCCTCCAAATTCGGGTCGGAGCGTAGCGGAGTGGGCCCCGAGTTTGAAAAGGGCGACGGACGCTTGCGTCCTAGCCTCCAACAACGCCTCCCCGGCGCAGAGGGGCCCCCGGAGGGATGCACAACCGACCCACGCCACGCCGCTTGCGGCGGTCCTCTTCCCAGCTCCGCTGAGGGCCCGTGCGTTATTCTTTTGTGTTCAGGTTTGGCTGGTGCGCCAGAAGTTATCCAGCCCCTTGGCGCGTCCTTCTCCTCAATCGAGTGGCGGTTCACGAGCCTCTACCCGAAGCGTGTGTATATGAAGCTCGCCGTTCTCGTCGTCGTCGCCGTGCATCCTCCCGCACACCGTTTGCCGCAGCGGGCGGCAATCGCGATGGGGCTGAAGGGGCCGCCGCCGATTCCATCGAAGCACTTTGTGTCACTGACGTCGCCAGGCAACCTCACCGAGGCGCTCGCGGGCGCGGCCAGCGATGTGGTGACCGTCGTCAAGTACCAGGCGCCTTGGTGCCGCACATGCCGCGCGATGGCGCCGCTCCTCGACCGGCAGGCGAAGAAGCACCAGGAGCTTCGCTACTTTTCGCTTGAGTGCCGCCGCGACGGCAAGGCGGCGGGCGAGCGGATGCACAAGTTCTTCGTCGAGCGCGGCGCGAAGGGTCTCCCATTCGTGGAGGTCTACCGCGGCGACACGCTCCTCGAGGTGACATATAACAGACACACAGAAAGCGTGGAGGGATGGGAGAGCGGCACAGGCCGCCACCGACAGAGAGAGGGGTTCTGAGGGAAGGAGTGTGTGGTGCTAGCCGTCTCTCACGCTCGCCCTCCTCGGGTCTCTGCTCCTTAGGCGACCACGGTGGCGCCCACCGGCGTCGAGGCCTTCTCGCACGCCATCGGCAGGGCGATCGAGGCGGCGCAGCGGGCGCGGGCGCAGCTGGAGCTGGCCAGCGGCGGCGCCGCCAACAGGCT